ATACACTTCTTGTCTCTACGTGTGTTCGATTTTCTGAACCCAACCAATAATCAAGAGTGTCAAGCCCGGCGGTGGTGGTGCCTGCCTTTAATCCCAACACTTGGGAAGCATAGACAGGCGAATATCTATGAGTTCAGCCTTGTCTACAGAGTGAGTTCCAGCATGGGCTCCAAAGCTACAGGGAAACCCTATCTCGAAAAAACAAAACCAAAACAAAGTGTTGGTCCAGGAATGGAGCCCTGTGAGAATTCTGAGTGCTTGTGAGAACCATCCAAGAAAATAAGAGTCTTGTGCCCTCAAAAATTATTCTTGAGCTGTTTTCATACCCCTCCCAGGTGTCGTGGTTAGGACTGAGCTTACTTCAAAAACACTTCAAATTGAATTCATTCAGACCAGAAACAAGACAAATTTTGTTTGCAGCAGATCAACTGAAAATGCAAGCTTGGTGAGGAGTGGGTGGTGCACACCTTTAATCCCAGCACTTGGGAGTCAGAGGTGAGTGTATCTCTTGAGTCCAGGGCCAGCCTGGTGGTCTACAGAGCAAGTTCCAGGACAGCCCGGGCTATGTAGAGATTCTGTCTCAAAAAAGAATATAGCAAGAGGATTTCTGATAGGCAGCGATGACTGCTGTGAAGAACAGGAGAAAACGTCTCCAGAAAGAACTTCTAACTGCCTGTTTTAAAGGAGGGGGGAAGGGCTCTGGCTCTTGTGTGGTGCTGGGAATTGAACACAGACTTGTGTTACACTCTACAAATGAGAAATCCCTGGCTCTCCATTTATTCTTAAAATTCTTTTATTAATTTTGTGTATACGTGTTTTTTCCTGCATACCACATGACTACACAGTGCCCTTGGGGACCATACGAGAACATTGGATCCCATAGGACTAGAGTTACAGATATTGTGAGCTGCCACGTGAGTGTTGGGACTCGAACCTGGATTCTCTGGAAGGGCAGCCGTGTGTGTGTGTGTGTGTGTGTGTGTGTGTGTGTGTGTGTGTGTGTTGAACTGGGTGAACCAAAGCCTCATTCATGCTAGTCAAACATTCTCACTCACATCCCCAGTCCCTGTCCTCTTATCTTTAAGACAGATTGTCTTCCTTTTCCTTTGCATTTGTCCTTAGACACAGATTACCCACGCCAGTTACTTATGAGGCAGACTAGACTGAGAAGAAAATATAACCCAGGCCTCCTTTGTGGTGCAGATCTACAATTCCACCTACTGGAGAAGCTGAGGCAGGAGGATAAAAAGGTCAAGCAAGAGGACTCAGTTGATAAAGGTGCTTGCTGCCTGGTCACACATGCACACTGAAAAGTGATTTGTTTTGTGTTGGGACATGTTGTGGGAATGTGTTGTGCACCATATGCATGCCGAGGGCCTGAGGAGGCCAGAACAGGTTATCAGATGCTCTGTTACAGACAGTTGTGAGCGGCCATTAGAGCTGAGGATCACATCAGGAGCCCCTGAAAGAGGAGAGGGGTCAGCGCTCTTAACTACTGAGTCATTTCTTCAGCCCCATGAAAGCAAGCAAGTTCAAGTCTAGCCGGGTAACTTAGTGAGACCCTGACTCTAAACAGTAACAAGGCCTGGGGTATAGTGCAGTGGTGCACTGTTTGCCTAGCATGTGCGAGAACCCGGGTTCAGGACCGGTGAGATGGCTCAGTGGGTAAAGATGCTTGCTGCCACCGCTGAGCATCTACGCTCAGCCCTCAGAACCCACATGAAGCGAAGAACTGACTCCACGGCGTCGTCCTTTGCCGCGACAGGTGCCGTGCACACACGGACAGAAACAAATGTATTTTAAAACATGTTTTAAAGAACCTGGGCTCAATATCAGTATAAAAAGAAATCTTAAAAGACAAGGCTAGGGAGGAGGCTCAGAGGTTAAGGGCTCTGACTGCTCTTCCAGAGACTGGGTTTGACTCCCATCAGACATGAAGTGGCTCACAACTGTCTCTAGCTCCAGTCTCAGAGAGTCTGATACCCTCCTAAGGCTTCTCTAGGCCAGGAATGCATGTGGTTCACAGATATACATATAGGCAAAACACCCATACACACATAAATACAATTTTAAAAAAGGACGGAGTGAGGGAGAGTGGGAAGGGAATTAAGGGAACAAAAAGGAAGAAAACATCAAAAAGTAAGGGGGCACAGAAAGAGAAAGAAGCCATCACTCCAGGGTCTCTTTGCATTTCTCACTGGCTGAGTCAACTGATAAAAGTCTAAATTGCTGTGAAGGGGTGGCAAGCTAGCTCAGAGGGTAAAGGCACTCATTACCAAACCTGAGAACGTGAGTTTGACCCTTGGAGAACACATAGTGGAAAGAGACCAGACTCCTGAAAATGGTCCTCCGCCCTCTACAGGAGCACTGTGGCATGTCCTCCTCCCAGACAATCAAGTATAATAAAGAATTGCTGTGGCATTGCCTGTATACAAAGATTAACCATGGCTTTAAGAGAGTTATCTGAAGATATATATATATATATATATACACATATATATACATACATATATATACATATATACATTTTTAATTTTTATTGCTTAGGGTTTTATTTTTTTTCTTTAGCTTTTTTTTGAAACAGGATCACTCTGTAGCCCAGGTTGGTCTGGAATTCACTATAAAGCCCAGGGCTTGTCATGTAGCCCCTGGATAACTAGGTAGTGCAAGCTGCCTCAAGCATTACACAATCCTCCTGCCTCTGCCTCCTGATTGCTAGGGTTGAAGGCACACTACATTTGGTGGCTTCTTCCTCTTCTTTTTCTATGGAGAGAGGGTCTTGTCATGTACCCCAGCTGGCCTGGAACGCATAGGTTCACCTGCCTGTTTCCTGAGTGCTGGGATTAAAGATGTGCATGGCTAGTGCCCACAGGGATTAGTTGCAAATGGAGTTAGGGATGGCTGTTAGCCACCATGCGGATTCTGGGAACCAGACCCAAGTACTCTGCAAGCACAACAGCGCTCTTAACACGGAGCTAGCTCAGCTACAGGGCTATGTCTCAGACCTTGTCTCAGGAAAAAAAGATCGGAACTACAGAGCCACACTAGGGAGAGCTATTATCCTCTGCTTGATTTGGCTTGAAAAATACTCCTTATTCAAACTGCGTGGTGGTGGCACACACCTGTAATCCCAGCACTCTGCAGGCAGTGGTAGGCGGATCTCTGCGAGTTTCAGATTACTGGTTGATGAAGTGATGTTCCACAACAGCCAGGGCTACACTGAGAAACCCTGTCTTAAAAAAAACAAAACACAGAGGCTGGAGAGATGGCTCAGAGGTTAAGAGCACTGACTGCTCTTCCAGAGGTCCTGAGTTCAATTCCCAGCAACCATATGGTGGCTCACAGCCATCTGTAATGAGATTTGGTGCCCTCTTCTGGCCAGCAGACATTCAGAACACTGTATACATAATAAATCTTTAAAAAAAATACAAAAAAAAAACTTTTTTAAAAAAAATCTAAAATTGTCTGTGCACATATGATGCTGAACGTGTATGGGGGGGACATGAGTCAAATAATCCCAAGCTGACTCCAGAAACAGTATTCTAAGGTTTTCCTTTATTAAAGGGGAAAACTCATGGAACAGGAATGGGGATCCAACCTCAAGGTGTGGAACATAGGAAGAAGAGAGTGAGTTGGGCAGGGCAGCGGCTTTTTGGGTCCCAAAGTCATGTCCCAACCAGGTCCAGCCTCTTAAAGGCCATTGGCTGAAGGAGGTTCCCCATCACCTCCCCACTTTGTCTAAATAACAGAGTTCCAAACCCAAAACAAAACTATATACACTAAGAACATATATCAAGTATAAAATTAGAATTACAACCAGCATAAACAATATTAAGCAAGGAGCATATGCTAACTGTTTTAATAATCATTCTCTCCTAAGGAGTCTAAGTCTTGTATTAGAAATGGCTTGGCTAGCCGGGTGGTGGTGGTGCACACCTTTAATCCCAGCACTTGGGAGGCAGAGGCAGGTGGATCTCTGTGAGTTCGACACCAGCCTGGTCTACAAAAGCAATTTCTAGGACAGGCTCCAAAGCAACAGAGAAACTCTGTCAAAAAGAAAGAAAGAAAGAAAGAAAGAAAGGAAGGAAGGAAAGAAAGAGAGAGAGAGAGAGAGAGAAAGGGCTTAGCTAGATCATAAGAGGACGGTAACTATGACTAATCTTCAGCCCCATCGAAGGTGTGAGAAGGGAAATAATATTACTTGAGTAGGCAGGAAGTGCAATGAAGCAACTTCCAAAATGTGCACTAGATGACAGAGACAACTAACTGGGTGCTACCTGGGCAATCACCCAAAGTCATTTTGCAATGTGGAAGCAACCAACTTTGGTTAAGGCCTAGAGTAACTGACAGACCATTTTCAGAGGCAGAAAAATTTTCAGAACCCTCTTACCCTGTCTTGGCAAGATTTGGCAGTCTTTCTTCTTGTATCCTACTTGTCCTGTCCAGACACTGTGCACTTTGTCAGTGGCCAAGGCATGGGTAGTTCCTCGCCCAAAGGCCAATTGTGCCAAGAAGAAAACAAACTCCAAGTGGAGTGCCTGGTGCTCAACATTCTCTCAGGAATAGATTGATGCTGCCAGGAGCAATCCTGTCTCACGTCAACAGAACCCTAAGTTATTTAAATGTCATATTCTACAGCTCTTTGAAGTAGTTGAAAATTACCTATCTATGCAGAATACAATCTCTATGTATCTGAAGAACCTAATTAGTCTGACTATAAGTATGACAAACATGAATGACTTATTGACCTATAATACTTAATACCTGTATAATTGAAGACTAAGTCAGAATATTAAACAATCTTTAAACAACTGTACAGTAAATGAGGACAATGACCTCAAAATGTAAACAATGTATTAAGTATCTTGATCAGAGGTAGAAATATATAATGCAATATGATAAATATTCCTAAAATTATATCAATATACAAAATATCTTAAGCAGAGGTAGAAACGTGCATGCATACAATCTGACAAAATAACTCTCCATAGGTGTACAAATATTGTAAACAGAAATAGGAGCACAAATATAATTTGAACTTGTATCAATATAAACATAAATCTATACGAACGTAAATTGTCCATAAATAATAGTTTACAAGTGTTCACTCTGTTACTCAGTATTTTTAGTGTAAGTTCATACTAATCTACCTATTATCCCATCCAATTTTTCCTCTTTTTTTTTTCAAGGAGATCTCTGGGCTGACACAATTTCCACCCCAACTCCCAACCCTATACAAGTAACAATTAACCCCTAAATGATGTCCCTAGCCCTGAGGACAAGCTTTGCTGGGAGAGGGGACATTATCTTCTAGAATTGCTCTGAACCACTGAGCTATCTCACAAGAGTTCCCCACCCCCACAGCATTTTGTTTTACCCTGAGAAATGTCTGAGTCAGCTGAAAACACAGGCTTTATGATTTGTATCCCATAAAAAAGGGCAAAAATTTCAGCTGTATGCTATGAGGACGCTGTGTATTCATGTGATTACGGGGTAGAGATGGCTCAGCAGTTAAGCTTACACACACAAGCACAAACACACATAGTAAGACACATCTTGGTAAAGGAAAAAAAAAACTATTGGAATTTTCAAAAGTACAGACATACTTAGGAAAGTTATGGATCCTCATTCCCTTAAATAGGAAATATTTTCATGACTCAAATGCCCCTTCATAAAAGCTACAGATCTTAAGAATAAAGAAATTATCTTAGGACACAAAAACATACACACATTTACAGGCTTGTTCCCAGCTAACTCCTGTAGTAACTGAACAGCAACAAATGAATACATAAGGCACAAAAAGGGCGGAAGGCCTTGTACCTCTGAAACACCCACTTAACTCCAAATAAGCTAAGGAATCAATAATGAAGTGTCAGAGATTTGGCAGGGAGGTCTGAAGAGACCTGTTTTTATTTTTGTTTACATCTGTTCCTCTGTAAACCAATTCCTGAGCTAACACTGCAGTGTAAACAAGGAAAGAGATGAGGCTGAAGCTTTTCCTATAAGAAAACAAAACAAAATTCCAAAGCCCCAAACCATGGGTCTCTTTCCTGGGTGAACTTTCAGGTGAAAAATACGGCTATAAACTGGGTCTGCTGCTGATGTTGGTCTTCGGATGATGGAGAAGATTCTGCAACAGGAGCTTTTTACTCTCTCTTTATAATCAAGACACTTGTGGAGTTTCTCTTTGGTATAAACAATCAGATGCTGAGGAATTTGTTTCTTGTGACAAAAGATCTCCCTCAGAGGTTACACTTAAGAAGTCTTTGCCTAGAAGGAGTTCTTGGAGGGTAACTGAGGTGTGCATGGTTGTGAGAGGTCCCTCATGCGACACACTGGCACGGTTTCTCTCACTGTGCATTTTTTGATGCTGAGCGAGGGAAGAGCTGCGGCTGAAGGCCTTCCCACAGTCACTGCACTTATACGGCTTCTCCCCAGTGTGGATGATGGCGTGGCGAATGAGGTTTGTGCTCCAGTAGAAGGATTTCCCACACTCAATACATTCAAAAGGTTTCTCCCCACTATGAATCCGCTTGTGCCTCGTAAGACCAGACATGAGGGCAAAGGCCTTCCCGCACTCGGCACACTCATAGGGCCTCTCCCCAGTGTGGATGCTGAAGTGGCGAATGAGGTCTTTCCGATTGCTAAAGGCTTTCCCACATTCTTGGCACTCAAAGGGCTTCTCGCCAGTGTGGGCTCTTTTATGCAAGATGAAAGTAGAGCAGTGGGTGAAGGCTTTCCCACACTCGCTGCACACAAACGGCTTCTCCCCAGTGTGAATGCGCTGGTGCCTCTTGAGGTAGGACCTGTGGTTGAAGGCCTTGCCACACTCGAGGCACTCAAAGGGCTTCTCCCCAGTGTGGACCACATAGTGGTGGACCAGAGCTGCGCTCTCCAGGAAGACTTTCCCACACTCACTGCACTCGTATGGTTTCTTCCCAGTGTGCGTTTGCTGGTGCCACATGAGGTAGGACCTGTGCTTAAAGACCTGTCTGCACTCAAAGCACTCGTACGGGTCCTCTCCACCATGACTGACACAGTGCCTTAGGAAACCACCCCTGTGTCGAAAGACTTGTCCACATTCTGTACACGCGAAGGATTTCTCTCCAGTGTGTCTCCTGCCGTGCAAGACAAAATTAGAGCGGTGTGTGAAGGCCTTCCCACACTCGCTGCACGTATACGGCTTCTCCCCACTGTGGATCCGCTGGTGCTGGGAAAGGTAGGACTTGCGGTTGAAGGCCTTCCCACATTCCAGACACTCGTAGGGCCTCTCCCCAGTGTGGATCATCTGGTGCTGAAGGAGATGGGTGCTCTTTATGAAGGTCTTCCCACATTCTGTACACTCATAGGGCTTCACTCCAGAGTGGATTTTCTCATGTGAAGCAAGAAGGTTTTTCTTACTAAACGCCTTCCCACAGTCTCTGCATTTGAAGACCATTTCCTCTTCCTCCTGTATGAGCATTGGACACAATTCCTCAGCTGTCCCTACATCATCTAGTATAGGGCTCATTTTCTCAGGAAGCTTCTCCTCCTGGCCCTCTGTCTCTTGTATAAAGGGCCTTTCCTGAACTTCCGATGCATCATCGTGGCCTTTGGTTGGCACCCACTGCAAGCCTCTTGAGGTTCTTGGTGCTGACTGGCCCTGGAATGAGGTGGCCTCAGACAGCTGTGCCTTACAAGTGGTAGGTCCTATGGCCGTGGGTTTTCCACTGTCACCTAAAACAAATTCAGCACACAGCAGGGATTGTGAGAAATAACATAGGAAAAACCAAAACCATGCTAATGAAAACACATGACCACACATGATGTGGGAGTGTCATATATCAATCTGTTGATTTCATTGGTTAAGCAATAAAGAAACTGCTTTGGCCCTCATAGGTTAAAACGTAGGTGGGTGGAGTAAACAGAACAGAATGCTGGGAGAAAGAAGTTGAGTCAGAGAGTGGCCATGATTCTCCCACTCCAGGCAGAGGCAGGTTAAGATCATTCCTGGTAAGCCAGCTCATGGGCTACACAGATTATAAGAAATGGGCTAGTTCAGGTGCAAGAGTTAGTGGAGAAAAGGCTAGATATAATGGGCCAAGCGGTGTTTAAAAGAATACAGTTTCCATGTAATTATTTCGGGTAAAGCTAGCTGTGCGTGCAGGCGGGTGGGCGGGCGGGTGCTGGGGACGCAGCCCACCGCTCCTATTACAACACACACACACACACACACACACACACACACACACACACGCACAAGAAGATAAAAACAGTGCCTCTCTGGCTGCTGTACGATCTCCAAAGCCTAGGTTAGCAGTCTTTTTCTTGGTCCTTGGATTCCAATGCTATGAAAGGGAGATGTGGAGGGAAGACTGGGTCAGGGCTAGAGGAGGGCCTTTCACAGAGTCGTTCTCAGGATTACAGGCCGCATGTGGCTATTCAGAGCAAGACTAACACCTTGGAGTAGAATTCCTCTAGGTGACGCACCTAATACTGTCCCCAAGGAAGACACACAATAAGTAACGAGAAAGAAAGCACCTAGGGGAGCCTCAGCTTTTGTTCAACACCATAGGAAGTAACCTTCAAGTCCCAGAGGTGTCCAGAATTCCTTTTGAAATTCATTATGGATTCCTACCATTAAAACCAATAAGTGGGTTTTGTTTTTTTTTTTTTTGGTCTTTTGTTTTTCTTTCCAAATAAGTACTACTGGCCCACAAGCAATTTACACAGAAGAGATGACTCAGGAACAGACACAGCTATACAAGAAAGAAATTAACTGGGCAGCGGTGGCTCACACCTTTAATCCCGGCACTTGGGAGGCAGAGGCAGGCGGATCTCTGTGAGTTCGAGGCCAGCCTGGTCTACAGAGCTAGTTCCAGGACAGACAGACAGAGAAACCCTGTCTCATGGGGGGAAAAGAGGAGAAAGAAAAACAGATTATATGATTAAAAGGTTTGGCTTGGACAGTCAGACATGGTGATGGATGCCATTAACCCTAGCACTCGGGAGGTTCAGCTGGTGAATTTCTGGGAGTTTGAGACCATTTTCTTCTACAGAGTGAGTTCCAGGACAGTCAAGGCTACATAATAGAGAAAGCTGTCTCAAATATAAGTAAACAAAAAACCAAGAAGGTTTCATTTGGGCTAGAGTTACGGTTCAGAGAGTAAAATATTGCTGGTCGTTCATCCAGATGAGAATACAATCTTTGGTAGAGGAACGAGAAAACCAACTCCACAAAGTTGTTTTCCGGCCTTCACACATGTGCTACCCACCTCTAATAGTAAATTTGCACACACACACACATATGTGCACAGCAGATTATTCAGGAAGACATGGGCAAGGGATTGCCTTTTACTGTCAGAAGGGCTCTCATGAACAGAAGACTGGAAAGGGCAGTAGGTAAAATAGAGTTGAGGGTGGAAATTGGGAGAATAAGAAAGGACACCTTTGCCCTCAGTGTGCAGGAGGAAGTGAGAGGAACATTAGAGGACTAATGTTGAGATACAGGCCATGCAGACCCTTCCTCCACACAGGCTACACAGGTGCATTACAACTTTCAAAGCATTCAGTGAACAATAAGCAATAAAGCCTTAGATGCATCCCCTCTGGCTCAGACGTTGATGCTAATACATCAACACATCAGGTGGTTATATTTTCTCCAATGGAACCCAATGGTCAACGAGTGCTACCAATTTCCAGGGACAGACTGGGTGCAGGCTAGTAATAGGTGTTGATAAAGAAAGGTCTGTTCTTCTTGAACACATAATGCAGTAACACATCCCAGCCCCATGGACCCCGAGTAGACCAAATGCCTACTTCTTTAGATAAGAACTGGGGGACTGGAGAGATGGCTCAGCGGTTATAAACACTGACTGCTCTTCCAGGGAAACTGGGTTCAATTCCCAGCACCTATATGGCAGCTTACAACTCTAACTCCAGGATCCAACACCCTTACACATACATACATACAGGCAAAGCACCAATAAAATAGAAATAAATTTTAAGGGGCTGGAGAAATGACTCCATGGTTAAGAGCACTGACTGCTCTTCCAGAGGACCCAGGTTCAATTCCCAGCACCCACATGGCAGCTCACAAATGTCTGTAATTATAGTTACAGCTGATCAACACTCATGGCAAAACACCTATCACATTTAAAAAAATAAATTAAGAACAGAACTGGTGTTCCTGGAAGAGGGTATAACATCTCTTCCTCTTGCAATCTGGGTGTCTGTCAGAAGATGGCAGGACAACCTTAAAGCCAACAGGTTGATGACACAACCGTCCCAGCTGTCCACACAGACACTGCATGCTGAGCCACTGACTCTGGAGTTTGACGTGGAAGTTAATGCTTACTGTGGTGGTTAAAAGGGCAGTGTCCCCCATAGGCTTTGAATATGTGGTCTCCAGTAGGTGGCACTGTTTAGGGAGGCTTAGGAGGTGTGACATTGCTGGAAGAAGTACATCTCTAGGGGCAGGCTTTGAGGTTTCAACTGTCTTGTGCCATTCCCAGTGTGTTCTCTGCTTCCTTCTCTAGGAGCCAACTCTGTTGCTTGCCAGCTTACTTCCCTGCCTGATGGACTCTTATCCCTCATGAAGCATAAGGCAAACAAACGCTCCCTTTTCTATGTTGCTTGGTCATGCTCTTTTATTAGAGCTCGTGACAAGGAAGCCAGGGTAGTTCAAGCACACAAAGGGGTCCCAAGAGAGCAGCTTATGAACCTGACTCCTTTCCAGAAGCAGGGACAAATGGGACAAGGCTGGGGAATCAGAAGGGCCAGATCACAGGGTTCCACTAATCTATCCTGAAGTGATCCACTAAGAAATATTCCAGCAGGCTGGAGAGATGGCTCAGGAGTTAAGAACACTTGGTCTTTCAAAGGATCTGAGTACAGTTCCCAGCACTCACACCAGGCATCTCATGGTGGCCTGTAACTTCAGCTTCAGGGGACCTGGTGCCCTCTTCCTGCTCTGCCAGCCCCTACACACCTGTGGCATGTACTCACAGACATAGAAATAAAAAGAGCTTCCCAGGAGACCCCTGTCCGACCTCCAGGCCCTTCCTCCTGGATTCTTACCTGAACAAGTGCTTTGGGAGAGGGACTTTGCCACTGCCCATGGTTCCTGCCCTTGTTCCAGTAGCTTCAGTGCGGGAACAGGACACCCTTCAGGGAGAACAAAAAAGTACACGAAGATATTGATGAAACAAGATAAAGACCCTCCATCTCACAGGATTTGGCCCAGACCTTGGAATGAAGCTACACAAAAAAAGGTGAAACAACTCAGAAGCTGTGAGTTTGCTGCTCCATACTAAACAGTTCATCAGAAACCGACACTTGGCTGGTACAATCACTCAGTCAGAAACCGACACTTGGCTGGTACAATCACTCAGTCAGAAACCGACACTTGGCTGGTACAATCACTCAGTCAGAAACCGACACTTGGCTGGTACAATCACTCAGTCAGAAACCGACACTTGGCTGGTACAATCACTCAGTCAGAAACCGACACTTGGCTGGTACAATCACTCAGTCAGAAACCGACACTTGGCTGGTACAATCACTCAGTCAGAAACCGACACTTGGCTGGTACAATCACTCAGTCAGAAACCGACACTTGGCTGGTACAATCACTCAGTCAGAAACCGACACTTGGCTGGTACAATCACTCAGTCGGTAAAGGCGCTGCTGCCAAAACTGAGCACAGAATGGGACAAGATCTTCACTAACCCCACATCAGAGGGCTCATCTCCAAAATAGACAAACAACTCAAGAAACTGGACACCAAAAGAACACATAATCAAATAAAAAAATGGAGTACAGACCTAAACAGAGAACTCTCAACAGAGGAATCTAAAATGGCTGAAAGACACTTAAGGAAATGATCAACATCCTTAGTCATCAGAGAAACGCAAATCAAAACAACTCTGAGATTCCATCTTACACCTATAAGAATGGTCAAGATCAAAAACACTGATGACAACTTATGCTGGAGAGGTTTGGGGAAAACGGAACACTATTGCATTGCTGGTGGGAATGCAAGCTGGTACACCCCCTTTGGATGTCAGTGTGACAATTTCTCAGAAAATTAGGAAACAACTTTCCTCAAGACCCAGTAATACCACTTTTGGGTATATATCCAAAGGATGCTCAATCGTGCAACAAGGACATGTGCTCAACTATGTTCATAGCAGCTTTGTTTGTCATAGCCAGAACCTGGAAACAACCTAAATGCCCCTCAACTGAAGAATGGATAAGGAAAATGTGGTATATTTACACGATGGAGTACTACACAGCAGAAAAAATAATGACAACTTGAATTTTGCAGGAAAATGGATAGAGCTAGAAAACATTATTTTGAGTGAGGTAACCCAAACACAGAAAGACAATTATCACATGTACTCATTCATAGGTGGTTTTTAAACATAAGGCAAAGAAAGCCAGCCTACAAACCACAATCCCAGAGAGCTTAGACAACAATATGGACACTAAGAGACAATTACATAGATCTAATCTACATGGGAAGTAGAAAGTAGAAAAAGACATGATCTCCTGAGTAAAGTGGGAGCATGGGGACCTTGGGGGAGGGTTGAAGGGGGAGGGAAGAGGCAGGGAGGGGAGCAGAGAAAAATGTAGAGCTCAATAAATATCAATTAAAAAAAAAGAAAAACCAAAAACAAACAAAAAACTGAGGCAGGACCTGAGTTTGATTCCTGGGACTCACATGGTGGAAGGAAGAGAACCAACTCCCACAACTTGTTCTCTGACCTTCACACACTGTAGCATGCATGAATGCATACACGTGTGCATACAAACATTTTAAAATGTAATGTATTTTTTATTTTTTTCATTTCTTTCTTTTTTGGGGAGGGGGTATTGACACAAGGTTTCTCTGTGTAACAGTCTGGGTATCCTGGGACTCATTTTGTAGACTAGGCTGGCTTTGAGGTCATAGTGTGATTTTGGGTCAGCCTGAGCTGCAGAGTGAGACGATCCTACTTTTAAAAAGGTGGGGCAGGGTAGGATGGGGGCTTGCAAGATGGCTAAGTTGCTAGGCACCAAGCCTGACAACCAGTTTGATTCCTAGCACCCACATGGTTGAAAGTGAGCACTAGTTTCTGCAAGTTGCCCTTTGATCCACATACAACATATGTATACCACACACTACATGTATATAAAATAAATAAAATATTTTTTAAAGTAGAGTAGAAAGCCTTACCCAGAGACACCAGGAACCCAGAGATTTCCAGCATCACCTCTTGGTACAGAGTCTTCTGAGCAGGGTCCAGCTGCCCCCACTCCTCCTGGGTGAAAGCCACGGCTACATCTTCAAAGGTCAGAGACACCTTGCCAAGTCAAACAGGTACAGTGTTAGCCTTGAGGTTCAATGAGAGGAACTAGACTCTGCCTCACTGAAACAGATTAAGAGCGATAAAGGCCCAAACCACACAGGTTACCTATGCTTCACGGTGGGTTTCAAGGTTTGGGAGATAATGCTTGGAGAACACAGAGGTGTAAGGAGAGAAGCGTCCCGATTTAAGAGTGATCAGAGGCTGACAGCTCACACCTCTTAACCCCAAAACTTCAAGACTGAAGGCAGGAAGATTGCTACTATTTCAAAGCCAGCCTGGGCTACACAGCAAACTTAAGGCCAGCCTGTGCTACATGAGATTCTATCTCAAAAACAAGAACAAAAACGAAACAGAAGAACTGGGCTGGCAAGATGCTCAGTGGTTAGGACACTTGCTGCTAAGTTTGCCCACTGAGTTCGACACCTGGAACTCATGGTAGGAAGAGAACCTGACGCCCTAAAGCTGTCCTCTGACCTCCACAGTCAGGCTGTTACATACAGGCACACACACACACACACACACACACACCCCATAAATAAAGTAAAAGACAAAATAAATAAATAAATAAATAAATAAATAAATAAATAAATAAATACAGGTGAAAAGATTACTGCTTCAGCCAGGCGGTGGTGTCGCACGCCTTTAATCCCAGTACTTGAGAGGCAGAGGCAGGAGGATCTCTGTGAGTTCGAGGCCAGCTTGGGCTACAAGAGCTAGTTCCAGGACAGGCTCCAAAGTTACAGAGAAACCCAGTTTCAGGAAATAGAAAAGATTACTGCCTCAAACAAAGTCAGAAGGACAGATAACAAAAACACATAGACTATGAAATGCGGACAGCAAGGAGTCTAGGAAATGAGAATGGAGACGCGAAGGGGACACAGTACAGGCACGAGCAGAGCTTCTTCGTGATGCTCACAGCAACCGCTTTCAAGGCCGGCGCACTGAATCCGACACGGCTTCACAACTCCTGTAGGCTGTCTTCTGATCTCCTTACACATGCACGCATACACACTAAAAACTGTACAAACAAAACATTTCTATCTGACAACAGGAAATTTTAAAAATTTACTTATTTTTATGTGCACAGATGTTTTTACCTGCATTGATGCCTGTCTGTCTTTATGAGAATGCCAGATCCTCCTGAACTGGAGTTGCAGACAGCTGTGAGCGGCCATGTGGGTGCTGGGAATTAAACCCGGGACCTCTAGAAGATCTGTCAGTGCTCTTAACCACTGAGCCATCTCCCCAGCCCCGACAACAGGAATTTTTAAAAGAGAAAGTCTCCAGTGCTCATTATGAAAATGCTCTTAATTTCCCACAGCCTCTGCGGTCACCATCATCAGATCGTCACAGCACAGTGAGTGCCGGAAGCTAAAGGACCTTGGCCAGCTCACCAGGGGCCACACATCATAGACCACAGGCAAGGATGGCACACTGGCTTAAGGTTGTTCTAAGAGTAATTCTGACGCTCCATTAATCGCAAGGAGAATCTAAAGTAACAAGCTTATTCAAAACCAAGATGCAGAGCTGGAGAGCTGCTGAGATTGGTTCCCAGCACACACACACACACACACACACACACCCCGCAGTGTCTCCAGCTCCAGGCTTCGCAGGGCCTATTCTGGCCTTCGAAGGCACAGTACTCACGTGCATATACCTTTATGCTAACACATGCTATCATTTAAGGAAGATTTTTTAAAAATTCGGGAGTTTGTGGAGTGTTTCCACTTTTTTTTTTCTGACAAACCCATTTAATCACCTCTGAAAAGCACCCTCTGACATGGCTAGACAAAGCAAGGTTTATAGCTGGCTTCATTACGAATGTACCTGAGTTGGTTGTGGCAGTTCACACCCGTAATCCCAGCTTTAGGGGATCGGATAAGGAATTTCAAATTTGAAGCCAGCCTGGGCTACACAAATAAGACTTTGTCGAAATACGAGAACAAGAAAGGTACTAGCAGCTACTTGAGACAACGTCCCAACCAGCTTCCCATGTAGTCTAGACCTTTCTTAGGCCTCCTAGATTCCTAGGGGAACTTCACAATGAGACGTCTACCTTTTTCCTTGCAGGATTCTGACAGCCCTGCCCCTCATGTTAAGACACTTCAAAAATGGGGAACATGATGGTCAAGAATAAATAATACCAGGTACATCTCCCTACCTAGAATACCCTAACCTTCAGTGACTTTCTTAAACCAGTATTGCTGTGCAGACGCCTGGCCAGTCTTGGTGGATCCTTACAGCACAGCAGTATCATAAGTATGACTTGACACCGTAGAGGAAGCAACATATACTCTTGCAACGGCTTACCTATCAATGACAATGTAAAAAACACGGCTCTCACCTCAAACCCAAGAGTTTATTCTGAAGCTATCCATGGTCCTGGAACTCAGATTTAGGGTAACCCAAATGCCATGTTCCAAACGATTTTGTTTTTGTTTTGTTTTGTTTTGTTTTGTTTTTTCAAGACAGGGGTTTCTCTGTGTAGCTTTGGAGCCTGTCCCGGAACTAGCTCTTGTAGACCAGGATGGTCTCGAACTCACAGAGATCCACCTGCCTCTGCCTCCAGTGCTGGGATTAAAGGCGTGTGCCACCACCATCCGGCAAAATGTCATTTTACTGATTTTTGTTGTTGTTGTTCCAAAAGTTATAAGACACAGAACAAAGGACATAAATAACATAAATAACGATAACTTTTCAAATACACTCACTTCAGGCAGGTAGGTTAGAGCCCAGTGGAGAAACCTCTGCTATAGGTGGCTAAAGATAGCCCAAGATAATTAGTAAACAGGCTCTTGACCCGCAACATTCCAGTCCCTCCACAGTCACTGGCGTTCTAGCGCAGCTTCCTTTCGGAAATTCCAGTTCAAACCGAGCTTCTTTCGGAAGCATCAGTGGCCCCAAAAGAATGACAACAGTAGAGTTCCACCCAGGGGGCCTTCTCGGTTCCCTGATCAGTGATTTAAAGCTCACAGTCCACTAACCTGCGGGTGGCTCTTCCAGGCCGCCATAGTTAGACTCTTTGGGGGGAAATCGAGCGCCTTGCAGGCCTAGGCTGAAGCTCCCAAAGCGCATCCGGCTTTAGACGGGTGACCACGGAAACCGGCTGTACTAGGGACCTCGGGATCTTCCGTGGAAATGACGAACCTGCCCGAACCGTTGCCCTTGGGGCGAGACTGAGAGGTTGCGGTCCTCAGGAGGACCAGACCACACAGGGTCGTGCGGGCTTCCGCGGAAGTTTTACTTTCCGGTCCTTTTCGAATCCCGCCACAGGCTTGGAAACTGACCCTAGATTCCCGATGTTCAGATAACTTAAGCCCTTTGGGAACCGATGTGCTGAGGCAAATGGCGTCCGAGGCGAATAACCGGGAGTGCACTCCGTTCTGGTCTATTATTGGGCCCGCGCGCAGCATAGTCTTCTGGGTAATGTAGTTTTTTTTATTTTTTCCCCACTTGTCCGACCAAACGGGGAGCGCATCTAGAGTAAAAGGCGCACCTAGTGTGAAAGGCGCTCAAAGGTCCCAGTTTCCCTCAAATGCGGGGACATCTAGAGGACGGAATTTGTGGGGGAGGACCTAGGAACAGGGGTAAGACTGCTGTTGTTCATCCGGAGAAATTTGGGAGGAAAAAGATTTGCCCATCTTAGGGTTCGTGCAACTTTGTGTGGATCCTGTTGCGCAGCTGTTCTTTTGGTTTGTCTTTTTCAGATACTTCCTACCAAGATCGTTTTCTGAGCTGGAGACAGAAAATGAAGCTTAACATTCTTCGTGGGGAATTCATCTTATTTATTCCATCATCCATCCTTACTGCCTTAGATGTTTCGTGGCTCAAAACAGCCTCCAGAGAGGCTCGGACTTCAGGATCACTAGAACATTGGATTTGCTGTCTCCCAGTGTGTGAAGGCTGCAAGGATAGGAGGTTTAGGGGCCTCAGGGTCAGTTTGATACCTTTCCAAGATAGAATAGTAACGGTGTCATATATGCATTTCAGTACTGGAAATGAACCTAAGCCTGAGCGTGTAAATTTGGGAATTGTGAGCCCGATGTGGTTGCTCACACTTAGAGTCCCAGCATTCAAGACAGTGATGCAGAAGAATTGCCATAAACTCCATGCCAGCATGGACTACATTGTGAGTTTCAGGCCAGCCTGGGCTGCAGAGCTCTCTCTCCCATCTCTCTGCTCTTTCCTTTCTGAGGTATATAAACTCCATACTCTCAACTTCCAGCCAGGTATGGCCATACTTGCCTGTGATTTTGTTGGACCCTTGAGTCCAAACACCAAGGAGGAGTCGCTCCCAGAGACCACCTCTCATACCACAGATGATGTAAAAGCATGAGGATTTTATTAATTCTGTCATGACAGGGTCTTCCAGCATTAGAGGCCAGAAAGACCCCGAATAGCTGGTACAGACTACTTTTAAAGGAAAAAGCCACAGAAGCAATGCAGGGGAGTGTCTAGGGGTTGTTCTTTGACTATTATGATTGGCTTATTCAAAAGGGCTATTACCAATAATTGGCTAGAGATCGGTTGCCAGATCAGATGAGGTAAGGGGTCACTTTGACCCCGTTTCCCAGGGACTGAGTCAAAACATATATGTGGGTAATTGTTCAGGAACTGAGTCAACATCTTAAAGATTATCTTGCTCCAATTTCTGAACAACATTCACAAAGACTCAGGGAAATGGAAAGTTCTGCTTTTTTATTTTTATTTTTACTTGTTTTTGGTTTTTCGAAACAGGGTTTCTCTGTAGCTTTGGAGCCTATCCTGGAACTAGCTATTGTAGACCAGGCTGGCCTCGAACTCACAGAGATCTGCCTGCCTCTGCCTCCTGCGTGGTGGGATTAAAGGCGTACGCCACGGCTAAAATAGCATTTTCTTTCTATTGTATGTGTCTGGGAATATGGGTAAATGTGTGGTAGGTGTGTGCATGCCAAGGCCCAAATGTAGCAGTTAGAAGACAACCTGGAGGATTTGGTTCTCTCCTACAGTGTGGGTACTCAAGATCAAACTCAGAGCTTCAGCCTGGCCCTGCCTGGGTCTCTCTGCCTGCTGAACTATCCCCCCAGGCCCTAAGTTCATATATACGGGTTGTTCTACAGCCAAGGGTTCTAGTTTGGAAGGTTGTAGAACTTAATCATCGTGGCCTGGCTAGTGAGGAGAAAAGTGCTTCCTATCGGGAAGCAAGTCCAGAGCTCCAGTGTGGGGGCTATGGCACATTCCAAAGACCTGCTGGTCTTGCGGGGCTTTTTCTTTTGCAGTTCCAAGCGAATCTTCCTCCCCAGGGTTGTTTTAGCTTCTTGGCTTGAAAAGAACAAGAAATGAATGAAATGAATGGTGCCAAGGTGTGATCCCCCCCCCCCGCCCCCAGGATCTTGAATCTATTGTCTGGCAAATAGCTTTGTACTACAGAGTTGTATCACCAGCCCCAACTTGAAATCGGGATGCTGAAGAGATGACTCAGATGTTAAGAGCACTTGTTGCTCTTGCGGAGGACTTGGGTTCAGTTCTCAGTACCTGAACTGTGGCTCACAAGTATCTATAACTCTGGTTTTAAGGAATTTGCTGTCCGATTCTGATTTCTGCTAGCACAAGGCAAGCACATGGTGCACACACACACATATATGTAGCTAAGCATTCATATACACAAAATAAATCTAAACAATAACTGAAACCTTGGAAATCAGCTGGGGTGGTGATGTACACTTGTAATTCCAGCGCCCGTGGGTAGATGCGGGAAAATCAGACAGCGAAGCCTACGTTTCACTCTGTAGTAAACTCAATGCCACTCTGGGCTACATGAGACTCTGTCTCAAACAAAACAACAGCAAAAACTAGGAGCCAGAAAGATGGCTCAGTCGGGAGATGGTTCAGTGGATAAAGTTCTTGCTGCCCAGCTTATTGGCCTGAGTTCCATCCCTGGAAGCCACGCGGTGTGACAAGAGAACCAAATCCTGCAGGTTGTCCTCTGAGCTCCACACACACACACACACACACACACACACACAATAGATGAACAAAATGTAATAATAGCTTCCACAAATCTGACATCCCTCAGAAAGACCATATCAGTCGTGCTCCCGTTGTTCACGGTCTCTACTATTGAGTGTCCCATGTTTCCTTCCTTGCCTTTATTGAAAGACATCAGAGACTCTGATTTCTCTCTTTCTCTTGTGGGGGTGGGGAGGAATCAAGCCCAGGGCTGGCACAAGCGAGGCAGGCCCCCTGCTACTGATCTCCATGTCCTTCTGTATTTTTCAATTTGAGACAAAGTCTTACTGAATGACACAGTCTGGCCCTGAATTTACTCTTTAGCTCAGCCAGGCCTTAAACTCTTAATCTTCCCTGCTCATACTCCTGAGTAGCCGAGGTTACAGGCCTGTACCTGGGACAGTTTCCCTTTCCTTGTTAAAGTGAAAACGTTTCACTGGGTGGTGGTGGCCACGCCTTTGATCCCAGCTCTCAGGCAGGCAGAGATAGGCCAGCCTGGTCTACAAAGTGAGTTTCAGGACAACCAAGGATACACAGAGAAACCCTGTCTCAAAAAACAAAGCAAAACAAAACAGAGACAGACAGACAGACAGACAAGAAAAGAAAACATTCCTAGTAAAGCTGAATACCTTTAAATTAAAAAAGTATTCTTTACTTTCGAGGCCTGAAACTCACTGTGTAGACCAGGCTGGCCTCAAACTCAGGGATCTGCCTGCCTCTGCCTCTGCCTTAATTTGCTAGGATTAAAGGTGTGAACCACCAAGTCCAGCTAAGGTGAACATCTTTTGACCACTGCCATCACCTGCCTTGTCTAAAGTTCATCTTCGGATGTATCACTGAAATATAAAATTACTGGACTCTTTTAACACGTTTCAGTAAGATGGTTGCATGAATGAATGAGCATTAGGGTTTTGATTTGATTGCAAAATATTTAAAGGTTCAGTTTATTTTCTCCCAGAGTATAGTAAGTACTCAGTGACTCTGCTCACAAGACAGTGGAACACAGTTTTATATTCCTAGTCCTCAGAAGCCATTGGAAGCTTTTCATTACCTGTTTTGTTTCATTTATTTATTTGTTGTTGTTGTTTTGGTTTGGTTTGGTTTGGTTTGGTTTTTGAGACAGGGTCTTGCTGTGTAGTCCTGGCTGACCTGAAACTCACAATGTAGACAACTAGCCTGGCCTCGAACTCACAGAGATCCAGCTGCTTCTACCTCCTGAGTGCTGGGATCCAGCCTTGTTACTGTGTTGAGATAGGGTCTCACACTGGTCTGGAACTTAATGTCTAGCTCTTTTTGGCTTCTGACTCACAGCCATCCTCCCTCCTCAGCCTTAGGAACACTGGGTTTCTAGGCAGGCGTTAGCCACCACACCTGCCTGCAGTAATGTGTTACTAGAAATGGGGGATTTACTGTTTCAGGGGACAGTGACCTTTGAGAACATCACTGTGGACTTCACCCCTCAGGAGTGGCAGGGGCTGAACCCTGAGCAGAGAAGCTTGTATAAGGATGTGATGTTGGAAAACTACAGCAACCTGGCCTCTGTGGGCAAGGAGGGCATTGTGGCTAGGGTTGGGGGCTAGGAGTGCCGGCCTGAAGTCTGAACTATACAAGCACCTGCTCAAGGTTGAGCATATTTGCTTCTGGGCCGCTTTTCACTTTTGGGATATCCTATGTGAGCCAGGATTAGGATAAACCAGGAGAGGAGTGTGGTGCCAAGTTTTATGGTTGTTTTATTGTTTTCTCCCTATTTTCTTGCCTGTGTGGGTGTGGGTGTCCATCCATCCATCTGTTTGTTCGTCCATTTGGGGTGTATATCTGTGTGTGATGTGGGCGTAATCATGGCATGGCATGCCAGCTGGAAGTCAGAGGACAACCTTGGAGGTTGAGCCTCATTCTACCCCTCAACCGACCTTATTTGAGACAGGGTTTCTAATTCACTCCTGAATACACCCGACCAGCTGGTCCACGGACCTTCAGGAAGTCTCCCGTCTCTGTTTTGCTGGCATTACGGACGTGTCCCTACCATGTTAGTTTCTCCCTGAGTTCTTCAGGTCCGCACTCAGGTGCTGACACTCACAAAGCCAGTGCTTCACCCCCTGAGCCATTGCCACACCTGTTTGGTTATTGTTTTTGTTTAAAGATCATTTTTCTAAATTTAGTGTGTATATGCATGAGCATGTGCCATGTGTATACAAGTGGCCTGGAGCCATAAGAGGCCATCAGATCCCCTGGATTTGGGGTTGTGGGTGATTTTTAGCCACTGGAGGAGGGTGCTTGGAGCCTGACTGGGGTTCTCTGGAAGACTAGCAAGTGTTCTTAACTGCGGAGCCACCTTTCCAGGCCAGTTTTCTTTTATTTTTAATAATGAGTATCTGTGTGTGAACATATTCAGGAGAGTTCTGAAGAAGGCATCTCTCCAACCCCTGTCACAATCTCTTGACTAGTACAACTAGCAGTTGGTCCCTGGGAGCCCATCGACATGGTGGCACAGAGTGCATCAGCCACTTCCTCACTACAGCTAGACTAAGTCCAATTCCCTGAGACCAGAATAGCCCCACTGGTGACGTCTAACATCTTCATCTCCAACCACAAGAGTGCAAATGTTAAGGAACATTTCTCCTTAATCCATTTCAGAAAATGACCAGAATATTGAAAGGCTGGTTGGGATGTCTGTAAATGTGGATAAGGCCCTCAAGATAGGTGTTGTATCAACACTCAAAAAACATTCACTGCCGGGCGGTGGTGGCGCACGCCTTTAATCCCAGCACTCAGGAGGCAGAGGCAGGCGGATATATGTGAGTTCGAGGCCAGCCTGGTCTAGAAGAGCTAGTTCCAGGAAAGGAACCAAAAGCTATGGAGAAACCCTGTCTCGAAAATCCAAAATAAAAAAAAAAATAAATAAATAAACCATTCACTAAGCAAAAAGGTACTGCACCTAAAAAGATGTTTCTCTCAAGCAATGACAATGTTCCTTCAAGAATCAGGTTCCCACTTGAAATGACCCTATCCTAGAGCAATACTGACGAATATCTTGCATATCACCATAGAACCTTCTTCTGGTGATGGATGGAGATAGAGACAGAGACCCACACTGGAGCACTGGACTGAGCTCCCAAGGTCCCAATGAGGAGCAGTAGGAGGGAGAACATAAGCAAAGAAGTCAGGACCACGAGGGGTGCACCCACCCACTGAGACAGTGGAGCTGATCTACTGAGAGCTCACCAAGACCAGCTGGACTGTGACTGAAAAAGCATGGGATAAAACTGGACTCTCTGAACATGGCGAACAATGAGGGCTGATGAGACGCAAAGGACAATGGCATGGGGGTTTGATCCTACTTAATGTGCTGGCTTTGTGGGAGCCTAGCCAGTTTGGATGTTCACCTTCCTAGATATGGACGGAGGTGGGAGGTCCTAGGTCTTACCACAGGGCAGAAAACCCTGACTGCTCTTTGGACTGGAGAGGGAGGGGGAAAGGAGTGGGGGGAGGGGGACAAGGGTGGGAGGATGGGGCATAGGGTAGGAGGAGGGGGAGGGAAATGGAAGGCTGGGAGGAGGTGGAAACTTGTTTTTGTTTTTTTTTTTCTCCTTTTCTCAATAAAAAAAGAAAAGAAAGAAAAAAAATAAAAAAAAAAAGAAAGAATCAGGTTCCCAGAATCCCATCTACTTGGAAGCCATTTGAGATGTCGTTTTGATAGGAAGCCTTGCATATAAAAAACAATTCTCAGGAATCTAGAAAATCAGGTGACCCCAATTTATGCAAATCTATGGAAAAGCAGTTTGAGTGTAATGCCTGTGGCAAGTTACTCAATTCAAAGCCACGCCTTCAGAGGCACCTGACATCCACAGCAGCGAGATATCCTTTAAATGTAATAAATAAGAACATTCAAAATGCTGTGGAACCTAAGTAAACATCAGAAAACTCATCCAGAGAGAAAAGTCTATAAGTGTGGTGAGTGTGGAAAAGCCTACAGGCAGAAGACCAACCTCGTTCAACATCAGAGAAGTCACACCAAAGAGAAACCCTCTAGAGGCCAAGCTTGTGGGAAAGCCTTCTCCTGGGTGTCATCTTACAGCCATCACCAGAAAATCCACAAGGACAAGAAAGTCTACAAGTGTGATGAGCGTGACAAGTCCTTCCAACAGAACTCAGCCTTTAGTCAAGAGAGCACTCACAGGAGCAGAAGCCTCACAGATGGAAGGACTGTAGTCAAGAGAGCACTCGCAGGAGCAGAAGCCTCACAGATGGAAGGACTGTAGTCAAGAGAGCACTCACAGGAGCAGAAGCCTCACAGATGGAAGGACTGTAGTCAAGAGAGCACTCACAGGAGCACCTCACAGATGGAAGGACTGTAGTCAAGAGAGCACTCACAGGAGCAGAAGCCTCACAGATGTAAGGACTGTGTGGAATCTTTCATTTGCACGTCTGCTCTTGTGAACACCAGAGAACACACACAGGAGAGAAACCCTACAAATGTGGGCTGTGTGAAAAGGCTTTTGCCCAGGAAGCAAATGTCATCGATCAGAGAAGATCCATGCTGGGGTGAGGACTTACGAGTGTCCTCTCAGTGACAGGGCTTTTGTCCAGAAGGAAAAGCTTACTCAACATAAAATCCACACTGGAGAAAAATCATATGAATGGACTAGATGTGAGAAAACCTTCTCTCTGAAGTCAAACCTTCGAATTCATCAGAAAATTCACAGTGGAGAAGGAGCCCATGCATGTAACGAATGTGGGAAACCCTTCAGCTGCAAAGAACACCTTGATTTTCATAAAAAGCTCCACACTGGGCAAAAACCTTATAAATGCTCTGAGTGTGGAAAAGCCTTTGCTGACAAGTCTTGTCTTGATGGACACCAGAAAAGAATTCACACTAGTTGAGCACTTCAAAATTATGAGAAACTTCATTTATAGGATGCCATGGAACAGTCACCCCAAAAATTGACTGCAAAATAAACTAAAATTTTGAGTCTATCACAGAGAACATGGAAGACTTAAACTCCCTGTGACTATCCTTTGAGGATCAGCTTAGCTCATTCATCCACAGATACTTGTTTAGTCTTTTTAAAATGTATGTATATATGTGTATATATGTCATGACCGTATAGATGCCTGGGGAAGCCAAATGCTGACTTCAGGTCCCATGGAGTTACAGGTGGTTGTGAGCTGCCTCATTTCGGTGCTTAGACCCACTTCATTCCTCTGGAAGAGCATCAGGTGTTCCTAAATGCTGAGTCATCTCTCCAGCCTCCCATTTCACTTTTTAAAATTATCTATCTATCTAGATATATTGTGTGTGTGTATTCATATCACACAATATATGGTTGGGACAGCCACGTAAGTTCTGAGAATTGAACCTAAGTCCTCTGGAAGAGCAGACAATGCTCTTGTACCATCTCTGCAGCCCCCATTTTACTATTTATGAGAGGAAATCTTGTCATATTGCCCAGACTGGGTTGCAACTTCTGGGTTCAAGTGATCCTTTTGCCTCAGCCTCCTAAGTAGTTGGAGCTTCAGGTACATGATATGTCTGCCACTCAGCAAATATTTATTAAGTGACTTTTAACTAATATGACTAAACAGATACCAATAAACCATACATTTTATGGAGTTTCTTATGTTTTCTTGGAATTTTAGTGTAGCGAATAATAACCAGTGGTAGCCATTTCTTTGACAGTTCACATAATAAAATGTAATGTTATGAATCTGTGCCAGGTTAATAATATATATTGTTTGGAACTTTTTGTTGCTGTTATTGTTAAATAAAAAACTTGGAATTCCAAATGACACGCAAGTAAGTGTGTGTGTGTGTGTGTGTGTGTGTGTGTGTGTGTGTGTGTCTGTAACTCAGGAAAGGTAACTCACGGCCTTGCATGTGGGATTCACATACTCTAATTCCAAGCTACATCCTCAACACATTAGAAATCTGAAAAGTTGTAAAGGGAAGCTAGAAGTGATGACAGGAGCCTATAACCTCAGAACTTGAGAGCAGGAGACGAGGGACCCAGGGTTCAAGGCCAGCCTACAGGTGCTGAGATTGTTCAGTAGGTAAACACACTTGCTTCTCATGCCAGCAACTTGAGTTTGATCTCCCTCTACCTTCACATGGTAGAAGGACCTCCTCCTATGAATTGTGGTACATGCACAAATTTAAAGAGGTGCAGGGTGTTAAACAGATGCCTAGGTGTTGAAGACCATTTGCCTTCTTCCAGAAGACCTGAGTTTGATTCCCCTCACCCATGTTGAATAGCTCACACCTGCCTGAATCCCAGCTTGAAGGGATCTGATGTTCTCTTCTGGACTTAAATGTGTCCACCCACATGCAGAGTACACAGAGACACGCTGACACGAACGGATAGAAATCCTTATTTTAATGGTTGGGAATGAAGAGGAATGGGGAGGCATGTTTTCCTGAATTTAAGTCTCTGGCCCTCCCCCCCTCACTTGATTTTCCAAGAGAGAAGAATTTATCTCACCTGGTAGCTTGGAGGAAAAGCAATCTTCAATGGTAACTCCAACCAACGGGAGTTTCCTGTGGGGTTTTGTTTTGTTTTTTGTTTGTTTGGTTGTTTTCTATCTTGAAAGATTTGTTCACCCTAGCTGCTTCTGATGTTGTTTTTGTATACCAAGTCTCCTATGACTGAACCTACCTGGCAAAGCCAAGAGTACACAATAAGGAAGGTAAGGGAGTCAAAAGATAACATCTAGACTTGGTCTTATGTAGGTGGGAGAGATGAGGGTCTCACACAAACTCAGGTTAGCTTGGAACCTGCCTCTTGACAGCTAGGATTATAGGCATGAACTACAACACCTGGCTAAGTCATTCTGAAAGCCTAGCTTAGCAGAAGGTTAAAATGGGTGTTTAGTAGACTGGGTGTGGGTAAAGTTCTCACCACCCAAATATGAAGCCCTGAGTTATAATCCCAAACACGTAACTGCACCCATATAGAAATCTGGGTGCAGTGGTGTCTACCTGTGACTCCTGAGCTGAGGACGGGGAGACAAGAGGAACTAAGAGTTTGCCTGTCAAGGAGTCTGTCTGATTCGTTGAGCTCTAGGTTCAGTGAAAGACCTTGTCTCTAAATGGTTACAGTTGGGAGAGACAGGAGAAGCTACCCAACATCAACCTACCATCTCTACACACATGCATCGCATACACATGCACACACACATGACTGTGTCCACGTAATAAATTGAGCGCCCAAGAAGTTCTTGGAAACCAAAGGTAAAGTCCATTACAGGGGGAGTAGTTGGTTCTAAGTTCATTAAAATCATGGCTAATTAAAGTCATGGTTAATTTATGTGAGTTATATCATGTAGATTCACTTTGCTTGTATATACATACATATGAACTAGTATATCATAATTTCTTTTGAGACAGGGTTTCTCTGTATAGCCCTTGCTGTCCTGAGACTTTCTGTGCAAAGCAGGGTGGCCTAGAACTCAGGATCAACCTGCTCCTTCTTCCCTAGTTCTGGGATTAGAATCATTAAAGTGCCGGTTGTGGGGGTGCATGCCAGTAGGATTTGCTGAAGGAGGCAGAGGCAGGAGGATCACGACTTCGAGGCCAGCCTGGGCTACACATTTATTTAAAAAAAAAGAAACTTTAAACTGCGACACCCTGCCTCTTGGTTCTCTTTCTCTCTCTCTCTCTCTCTCGCACGCATGCACGCACGCACACACACACACACACACACACACATTTTTATTTATTTGGAGTGGTGGCATGTGGGGGTCAGTCCTGACTTTTCTTCATATTCATCTCTGGGATCAACTCAGATTCTCGGCAGCAACAGTTCTGTACCTACTGAACCACCTGATAGCCTGATGTGGAACATTGGTTTAAGATGTATTCCATTCCTTTATGCTGTGGAATATTGGTTTAATGAGCCAAAGATGTGCTGCATTCTTTTATGCTTCATTTGTTTAACTCTGCAAAACGGTGTGACTTTGCCTGTCTAAAACACCTGTTGGTCTAATAAAGAGCTGAACAGCCAATAGCTAGGCAGGAGAAAGGATAGGCGGGGCTGGCAGGCAGAGAGAATAAATAGAAGGAAGAAGAAAGGGGGTGAGAAAAGGTGGAGAGCAGAACGCCAGGGCTGGTGCCCCTTCCTCACTGCCAGACACGGAATAAGAAGGAAAGATATACAGAGATGGAGAATGGCAAGAGCCCAGAGGCAAAAGGTAGGAGGGATTACTTAAGAAAAGCTGGCTAGAAATAAGCCAAGCTAAGACCGGGCATTCATAGGAAAGAATGAGGCTCTGTGTATTTCTTTGGGAGCTAGGTGGCGGGTCCCCAAAGAGTAAAGGCTAAAGAAAGCACAAACCTCGACGGTAACTTGACCTGATTTTCTGAGACAGGCTCTGTAACCCTGACTGGCCTCTCCAGCTCATTATAAAACCTTGAAATCCTGGTTCTTCAGCCCGCATCTCCTAAATACAGTGATGATTGGCTCGTGTGACCACACCTGGCCTGTATGGAGGTGAAGGTGAACCCAGGGCTTCTTGTTAGTTGAGCACTCTACCAATGGAGCTATTTCATCAGTTCCTTCACACTTAAAAAAAAAAAGGGTTTTTTTTTGGAGGGGGGGAGGCTGGAGAGATGGCTCAGTTTAGCACTTAAGAACACTTGCTTGCTCTTCCAGAGGTCCTGAGTTTTCATAAACATCGGTAATGGTATCTGACTCTCTTTCTGGTGTGCATGAAGACAGACCACTCATATACATGAAACACATGAATAAGTCATTGAATATTTTCCTTTTAAATGTAAAAAGAATTATCCTTTGTATTTTAGTATTTTCTAGAGCACTTGTTCTCAGTTTTCCTAATGCTTCAAGTCTTTAACAAACTCCTCATGTTGTGGTGACCCACCAACAAAAATAACATTTTCATTGCTACTTCATAACTAATTCTGAGCTGTAACTATCCCAGTCGATAGAAAACAGCCCCTAATTTCATCTTTTAAGATAAAACCTTTACTTAATTTTGCCCCAAATTTCATATATCACCAGACTTTTGGTATTTTTATACCCTCAAAATCTTAACTTTCGTACATGATCTTACATAGTTTAATACTGTTAATTTTATAAGCTCGTTAAGGTTAACGACAAGCTATGTTTTAGCTTTTTGAAGGTAAAAGCTTTTGTTTTTTGAGGCAGGGTTTCTCTGTAGCTTTGGAGCCTGTCATGGAACTAGCTCTAGTAGACCAGGCTAACCTTAAACTCAGAGATCCACCTGCCTCTGCCTCCTGAGTGCTGGGATTAAAGGCACGTGCCACCACTGCCCCGGCAGAATTAAGGCATGTTTTAATGTGTGTAGGTGTTTTGTTTTCATACCACAAAGCCAGAAGAGAGGGCATTTGATTCTCCAGATTGGAGTTACAGGTATCGTAAGCCACCATATGGATGTGGGCTTTGCACCAGTGGCAGGAGCTGCCCAGCTGTTCCTGGAATGCTAGAAATGTCGTTTTATAACCTGGTGATCCTTTGCTGTCTGAGACAGGTTCTGCCCGGATCTCCCAGCATTTAGGTTTTTATTCAGGATGTTTCCTCTAAATCTTGAGCATTGCTTTTAGACCATAAAACTCAATCTCATGAGTGAAGTTACTTGTGGTTTACAACACCCTAAGCGACTCTGTGCTTTCTTAGGGCCAGGCCAATCCTCACACCCACAGGCACTGTGTACCCCAATCTAGCTCTCCAGTGCTTATCTGTGTGCACGAGGCACTTTGCTCTCTACGTCTCCCCATTTTTCAATAGAGGCCGTGTTCGAGTGCACTACCTCTATGGTTAGTATGTTAATACAGGCAAGCATAAGAGGACTTTAAGTACAGCTAACAGAAGACAAAGGAAAGGTTGGTTTCTTTCATAATTTAGTGTAAT